TACTACAACTAAAAAAATTATAGGTCCACCAGTTTTACATTGGCTTGCGAACATTCTCTAATTAAGTAAATAATGAAAGGTTCCTGGCCGAAACAAGAGCTAATTGATTATTATTATTATTAGGTTTTTATGGTGTTTTTAATTTTAACAAGCCTCAAATAAACTAAAAACAGAAGCACGTGTACGAATGCAGAAAAGTAACAAGGCATCTCATGGATATAAATATTAATTTGGAATAAAGTTGTTTGTTCCCGGCATATGCATGCATGTGGTGGAATTAATCCAAACTTGAGAATTAATTAAAAGAAGTTAATTAAATGTAATTAACTGATTTAGATTTTACAACCAGCCATTGCCGCAGTGTGCGAATATGATCAGTGTCTCAATCAGATCTGAGATCACAACTTTGGTTTTGTTGATCTTAATAATTAATTATTTTGTTTCTTGTCGATGATGTATGTCCTTCGTCAGATGTGAATAAATAAACCATTAAAAGGACTTGAATAATAATAGTTAGGTCTAATTAAATGACCCTGACTAAAGATAATTCTATTTAATAGAATTAAAATCATTCCCTTCAATTTTTTTCTTTTCAAAAGCAACATGAGTACACGACTTCGATATAATCGATCATGCAGTGTTAAGTTGAATTATTTCAAAAACCTACAGAATTAATATTATAGTTACGTGTAGATATTTGTTTTCAAATCAATAGATACTGATACATGAAAAGATGACAGCAAATAAGTTATTTTTGTAACTTATTAGCTTTATAAATATATAAAATTTGGGTAACATTAATTACTACTACCTTCGGTCTTAATTATAAGACCTCGTCTGTAGTATACAAATAAAGTCTTATAATTAAGACCGGAGGTAGTGCTATATATGTAGTATTATATATATAATGGATATTTTTTTAAAATAAAACCGTATATAGTGGCGTCAAACATAAAAAGTAAGTAATAACCTCAGCTTAAACATAAATAATATGGATAACGTGGCAGTTTAAAGTGTAACTCTTAAAGCGCTGGCCAAAAAACAAAATTTAAAAGCATATTTTGGCAACGTAAAACTCAACCCCCCATTCCGGTGAAGTCATATCAAATTAATATGGTAAAGAGACAACGCATACATCACAGTAAAATCCAAATTCCAAAAGTGTTCCTTAGTGGTCTGAAACGTGTTGACTGCCTTTAATTAGGATTAACCTAAACATAGGAAAGTTATTTAAAGGTCTATCTAAGCTATAATTACTTTTAAGATTAAAACTATTATCGAACTTTATAAAACATTTTGCAGAATATTATTACATTTTACAAAACTACTCAAACTATTAGTAGTAATTACTTTTAGGAAAAGTAATATAACCTCTCATAAGGTTTGAAGGTCATTATACTTACTGAAAATAGTTAAGATCATTCTTTATCATAGATTATTAAAAAAATGGGGTCATTAGATGATAATTTGCATGGACAGATGCGCAAGTCCAGCTAGTGCAAAGTGCGCTGTCGTGTTGTTCATGCAAAACAAAAAAACAAAATGGATGGATGCCTCAATTATATATGTTGGTCCTCATCCTCGACCAATATCAATATCAATACTACATTAATAAAAGAATAATATGCATGGTGCTGTCTTGTACTACTGTTAAATTCCCTGTGTCTTTAATTAATTAATTCAAGAAAGACCTTAAATTAATTGGTCAATGGATGTAGCTGTCCGTCCGTAATTGAAATGCAAATAGAAATGTGTGCGTGTGTGCGTGTGTGTTTTGTGTGGCGTTTAATTTTTGTCAAATTTCTGAATATATTTTATTTTTGCATGGAAAGGGATTGGAAATGGACGCTTGCTTGATCAACCACTCACTTTGGCTGTCCTTTTCAGCTCTATTTCCTCCTCCCATTAGTATTCATGCATTCACAATTGACTAACCCATCACCAATATTTATTACCATTTTTTAATTGTCACCATGAATATCAAACGGGAATCAAATGTACTTTATTAAAAAGCATAACTTTTTCAAGAAGAAATTATTATGTGGACATGATTCAACACAATTCAAATCGACCGTGAAATTGAGGACAGCGAAGAATTTAATGAAAGCTTCACAATGAAAACCTAACATCCTGACAAGGACTGATACGAACGAGGATGAAACTAGAGATCAGATCAGATGTTCCTTTAATTTGAATAACATTTCGTCGTAGCTTGGTTTGGATGCAGACCGCACCGACCCCATATATACACAGTCCATAACGGGCCTTATTGGATTCAATTAATTAAGCCCATGAACCATGATGTGATCATAGAAGTTGGAAAGTGAAATCACAACTCACAAGACAGCGTGCATAAAGCAGCCACCAATTCGTCATCAACCCCACTCCTGTTGTTAACAATATTGCAGTGCAACAACCCCCCGAGTTTCTCTTTTACTTTTATTACCCTCATTTCATCATTCTCATTATATATATATATATATATATATAATTTGCACTGCAGCTGCTTTATTCTAGGATTTGAATCCATTATCATCCTGCACAAAACCAAAGAAACAATCAGGTCAGCTGTGTTGGAGAAGCTAGAGTGACTTCTCAAGTTTCTCGATCCTAAAGAGTAGCATTATATATTCCCCTCCGAAACATCCAATTTCATTATTCACAAGGCCACAAATTTTGTTATCGGGCCTTACCACTGAACCAAAAAAGAAAAAAGTGAAACTGGTTGGAAAATGGAGGCTGACGACGTCCCAAATATGTCCGATCCGCACGGGCAAGGTGCAATTTCAAGTATAAAATGGAAAGGAATAATGGGCAGTCTTGTACATTTGCTCAGCGTAGGGCTTGTCAATTTGATTTTCCCCTTATAAGTTAACCTTCTCCTCTCGTAACACCAGTTACAAATATGAAACATAGAGTCAAGCATCGACGGAATTACTTTTAGGATCAGGTGTTGTGTGTGTTTTTATGTTGCAGGGGAAAGAAATTAGCCAAAGCTGAAGAGTACACTTGACTATAACATGCATTATTCCTTTCCTTCCTTTCTTATAATTTGCAAGGAAGCGGCCCATCACTTCGGATTCAGCACTTCCTTCAATAAACATAACATTAAGGACGTACATCTCATTTACATTCTTCAAGTGCAGAGTCTCAGACATGCCCGAACTAAAACAGAAGGAAGAGTGCTCCGAGATCCGCAGTGGATAATTTTGTGATGATGCTTTTATCTGCTGGCCAGAGTCCCATCTTGAACAACATTCTCCCACTGCTTCTGCCGCAAGCTTCCGAAAACTGTTCCACGTAACAATACATAGATATGTGTGTATATATATATATATATGCTCATGCGTGGTCTAAGCGCAGTGAAATACATCCCCTAGGGGCGTACTCCTCTGATGAATTCATTATGTTCTTCCTCTTTTTTAACCTCAGATGAATTCATCCAATTTGCTACTTCCTTTTTCTCACAACAAAACATCATTATTAGGAGATGTCGTGCTTCAAAAGTCCATGTGTCAACTTTTTATTGGAAATTAAAACAGCCCAAGGCCTATAAATTAGTGTGTGTGAGGAATTTTCTCTCATTAAATGCCCATAAGTATGCGCCTTGCTAACTACTTTTGCACCTTCTGATATGCAATTCTATTGGGTGACAAGGGTGTAGAAACGCAGATGCGTTGACCGTCTGCTTCCTTCTGAACGAATTGAAACCCTAAATGAGCAGTAGAGTAGAATCAAAGTTGCCATGTGCAGTAGAAATGTGAGCGGTAATTTCACCCAATACCTTTCTTTCTAATGACTCTGAGGCGCACCGTTTGCGTACGCCATTTAGGTGTGAACGTATGGCCCTGGCACAAAATCCGGAGTCTTTCTCTCAAACAAGGGGCCGGGCTCCAAAAACTGCCTCCTTCTCCCTCATAAACCTCCCTCTTCAACCACTCTCTCTTTCTCTCTCACTTCATGCTTTATTTTATTGAGCGAAACTCCCAAACCCGTTTGAACTTATCTTCAAAATGCATTAAATAATATTTGTTCTATTCACAACTTTCCCAGAACAAACCAGAACTCACACATGGGGGGTTTTCCCTTCACTCTATTACAGTCCAATTTTAAGCATGTGGCTGTGAACGCCGTGATTGGTTTACTGCTTTCGGAACTCTTTCCCTCTCCATCTCATTAATTCCTCCTTCGTCTTCCCAGTGACAGTTCTCTTGGCTGCCTGAAAGTTTTCTTCCCCTTTCCCCGTTGGAAATATTTTCCAGTTCTGGTAATTTGAGTGTGTTTGATGATGACCGAATTTGAATAAAAAAGGAATAATTTTCAAAAGATTCGGGTTTTAGGGGAGAGAAAGTCGCTTTCTTTGAAGGTAAGGGAGGTTTGGTTTACTATTGTTTATGTTATCCTTTTTTTTTTTTTTTTAAATTCTCTCTTTGTGGATAGAATTAATCAGATGCTTTATGCTGCCTCTCTTGTTAGGTCTGCTGCCTGTTATTGCAAAAGCGGGCTCTTATCTTCTTTGCTTCCTTAATTGGTTACAGTATTACTGAAAGATCCCTCACTAGCCTCGTATCCGCGCACAAATAAGCCTTTGCTCCTCTCTCTGATCCAAGTCTCTCCTCCCTGCCCATACCTCTCATATCGAGTTTCTCTCTCCTATTCTCAAAAACCACATCTGAAGCCAACACGTACAAGTCCAAAAGTCTTCAAAGTGGAAAATCTCTGCATGCAAAGGGTGGCAAAACCGGGAACAAAATAAACAGCATCCAGTTTTGGTTTTCCCTCTCTTCCTACTGTTTTGATCTTTCCAAAACGAATCTCAACACTGCCTAGTTTTCCAGAAGATTTCAACAAATTTCAATCTTTTTCGAGTGGGAGATCTGCATGCAAGGTATGAACAAAACCCAGCCTTTGCTTTCCTACTTTTCTGTAATTTATTTCTTTGAAACCCCATTTTTTCTTAATTTTTTCCCCCTTCGAGTTATAACCTTTGATCTATCTGCATGCAAATTATAGGTGGTAATATAGCCATGGAGGAAGAAAACGCCTTGGATGTTAACAAAACTGAGATCTGGCTTCAAGATGAACAAGACGATCTTCTTGGTGTGAATGATGTCTCCATGTTTTATGCTGATTTTCCTCCTCTTCCAGATTTTCCATGCATGTCATCCTCTTCGTCATCTTCCTCAACTCCAGCACTGCAAGTCAAGACCACGACGTGCTCTACAACATCTTCATCCTCCACCGCTACATCATCATCATCGTCCTCTGCCGTGTCATGGGCAGTTCTGAAGTCCGATGCCGAAGATAATCTTCGGATGGAGGAGCAGCCGCCGCCGCCACCGCACTAGCAACTTTGTCCTCCGCCGCTTCCACAGAGATCCCTTTACCGCCTACGATTGTGCTGTCGAGATAGAGGAGCCTTTTCCGTACTTGGACATGTTAGAGATCAACGATTTTTTCGACCCGGCATTAGTTTTTCAAGACGAGGATTGCCCATTAGAAGAATATCCCCAGAATCAGATAGAGCGGGAGCAGGAACAACATGCAATTACACTGCTGCAGCAATCAGAGGATCAAGATCGGCATGTGCTCTTTAATGATAATAACTACGAAGAAGAGATTCAAGGAAAAGGAGGAAACCCAGATGGGGAAATGAGCGACGTGTTCTTGGAGTGGCTCAAAACGAACAAGGATAGCGTCTCTGCAAATGACTTGAGGAGCGTTAAGCTCAAAAAATCAACCATAGAGTGTGCTGCGAAGCGCTTAGGAGGAGGAAAAGAAGCCATGAAGCAATTGTTGAAGCTTATTCTTGAATGGGTTCAAACTAGTCATCTTCAAAACAAAAGCCGTTGTAATAAGGAGAGTGACATTAATAATAATGACAATGGTGCGCCTCCAAATTTCCTCACAAACCCTAGCTCTAATTCCAACCCTAATTTCTTTGGAGTACCTCAGTCATGTCCATGGGTCTCTCATCCTCAGCCTTATGGGACAGATCCGGCGACTATGGTAGCCGTGCCGCCGCCTTCTTATCCTTTGATTGGGTATCCGGGTGACCATATTCAAATGGAGCTTCGAATAATATCAATTCCTACCAACCTGCTATTACGGAATACAAATGTTGGAAGCAGCTCATTCATGGCCTCCATCTCAGTTCACCATTGCTCCCCACTGCAACCAGTCATCATATGGGGACAATAATGTCCACCAGGCTGGCCCACCAGTAGCGGCGGGATTTGACGGCTATGTGAATCAGTATTCATATCATTATTTTCAAGGCATGGCGGCGGGTGATAAGTTAATGAGGTTAGGCCCCTCGGCGACCAAAGAAGCAAGGAAAAAGAGGATGGCGAGGCAGAGAAAGTTTTTGTCTCATCATAGGAGCCAGAAACACCATAGCCAACTACAGAATCATGATAATAATGACCCGCTTGCAAGATTGGGACGTGATTATAATTGCAACGGAGGTTCTGCGAATCCGGCCAATTGGGCGTACTGGGGGGCACTGGCCGAGGAGGCAGCTTCCGTGGTTCCAGTCGTTCCAGCTGAAACCCGGCCGGCTCTGGATCGAACAGCCATGCAAGCTCAGAATTATCAAACCAGTGTCGCATCGACAGATCAAAGGCGTCAGGTGAGTCAATCTGCATAATTTGATCCCTACGATCATGTAATAAGTTTATGATTACTAATGATTACTATGCGTATTTTTACTTCCATTTTCCTCCCAATTATCTGGTTTTTGTTCTGACTTTAAGATATATAACTGATGGGCATAATAAATGTAGTGCGTTAATTTTATAGGGATTGAAGACAGAGAAGAACCTGAAGTTTCTTCTTCAAAAGTGTTGAAGCAAAGTGACGTTGGTAGCTTGGGGAGAATTGTGCTGCCAAAAGTATATTATTAATCGATCCTGTCCTTAATTTGAATTTTTACAAATTTACGATAATATCATAAGGTCGTGAAAATGTGAATGTTATTATCCTGGCTGTTGATTAAATATGTCAGAAAGAGGCAGAAACCCACTTGCCAGAATTAGAGGCGAGAGATGGCATTTCTATAGCAATGGAAGACATTGGAACTTGTCGTGTTTGGAACATGCGCTACAGGTATTACATCGCCTGAACTAAATTTCTTGTTCGGTTTGATTTGTTCTTTTCTCATAAGTAGAACTGAATTTTCTGTTGGACTTTTTCTCATCTGGGGAGTCTCAGATACTGGCCAAACAACAAAAGCAGGATGTATCTGCTCGAGAATACTGGTGCGCTAAGCTTATCAACCTGGCATTGTTTCTTGTCTTTTTATGATGTGGATTGGGTTAACTGGAACACGCATGCATAATTTGCAGGAGATTTCGTGAAGGCCAATGGACTGCAAGAGGGAGACTTCATAGTGTTGTACTCAGATGTCAAGTGTGGCAAATTTGTAAGTGAGCTTTAGCTTTTAACTACTTTAGTCTAAATGAGATAAGTAATATATATATATATATACACGCGCGCGCGCAGTAATTAATATTGCAGTATAATAGATTCTGACGTGAATGAATTTAATTTTGGTGGGAACAAAAACAGTTGATAAGAGGGGTGAAAGTAAGGCAAGCAGGGGTGGCGAAAGCAGATCAGAGCAGAAAGGCGGAAAAACGCATCAGAAAAACCTGGCGGCTGCTAATAATGAGGCGCCCTCTCCATCGTCGCCTCTGAAAAGATTTAGAAAGGAAATAAACTGATACGATCCTATGGGGAGGGGAACACAGATTATGAAGGCAGAGTTTAGAGTGGAAAGCAAAGGCTTTAATCTAATGAATGGACTTTGTGGTTGGAATGCATTATATTATATATATATATATATATATATGGAGAGAGTGGATGTAATTGGCCTTGTGAGTGGATTGTATATACTGTAATATGTAATTGCAGTCACAACAAGTAAGAATAAGCGGAATAATATTTTGTATGTGATCGATTGTCAATGTGGCTGCCTGCACTTTAATTTCATCAAGTACATGGAAATGCGTCTGAAGGTGCCCGCCTCTCCAACAATCTCCGCCTTGAAATGAAATCTGAAGTGGGTATGGAATTTCATGGGCTTTGGCTTTTTGAGACCTTGAACTAAAGTCAGGGCCTATTGGGCCGAAAACGGACTCCAAAATGCTGGGCCATCCTGGCCAGGTTGATAGCAATCTCCGAGAATATTGAAGGAGGCAATACACAAGCGGCTCATATGCCTCCACTTCCCAATGTTACTTTGATTCTGATTTCTGAAACGAAACCTCCCCTTCTCCATTCATCCATCATCCCCCAGAAGAAGAAACCTAAGAAATGCCATGATCTTGTTTGATCCTTCAACAAGCCTCTAAAGTGGACTTCAAATCTTAGCAACCAACATTGGTTGCTGCGTGCTCATCAAACCGAGAAATCCCAACAGTTGCGAGTGTGAGTATTGTGGTAATTATAAGCAATGATCAAGGCTGGAACCTGCAAGTATTATGATTATTGTTAGAGGAAATATCAATAACATTAATTTAAAAAAAACTGATAAATAAGTATTACATATAAGACCAATATCAACTTTAAATTAAGTCATACATTAATAACCGGAAAAGTCTTTTTTGGGGAAAAAATCACAAAAAAGATCCTAAAAATTGAAAAGTTATACAGAGACTCAGTCACAAAAATTATTGTTAAACTCATACTATTGTTATCAAAATTCACACTAATGCTATAATGGGTCCTTCTTTAAAATTTTTTTATTTCGACAGTCTTTTTTTTAATTTTTCCTTTTCTTGGCCGAAGTCTTAATTTAGTCTTCAAATGAATGGATTGGAACAAGGAAGACCCGGAAGGCTGAGTGCCGGGGTTTGGTATGCCAAGGATATCGGGGTGCTCTTACTTTTATTTTTGTTTAGTTAAATATTTTAGATGAATTTCTTTTCCATGTTCTTAATATCATGCCAGCCAAATACATTTATGTACAGAAGTTATTTAATAAGATGCTTTGTCACTATCCGAAATTCCAGTTGAATAAAAAATACTTATTAAGCTATCAATTTATTCTTATAATACTATGCAATGCTTTGATTAATTATTTTATAATCTTAACGGCAAAAAATTATACTCATATTTTATATCTTTTTGTGATGCAATATTTGTATATATGTGCTGTGCCAACGTCTCTGCTTTTTCTAATTTAAAAATCACAATTAGAGACTGCAAAGAAGGAAAATTAGAAAGAACAGAGCTTATTTGTTGATCACAATTATTAGGACATGTACACAGAGAAACCATAGCCCTAAAACTCCAAGGGTCCACACTGAACTTTTCAAGCGAAAAAAACAGTAGAAGTCTAACCACATGATTGGTGCTGACTATTTGAATGTGACTTTGGTATTGGAGGACGAAGGAGAGACAAGAAGAGAGGCAGAAAAACTAGTGTTGTTGCTGTTTACGGGTATGATTGCTTCATTGTATCCCCTCTTGGCTCTTCACTTGAATGATTATTAGTATTATTATCTTCTTCATTTGCAGAAGATCTGTGAAGAAGCACATCAACTTTCATATATTCCTCCCTTTCTTGCCTGATCTCTTTAAGCATTGCGGCTACATCTTTCATGGTTGGCCTGTCTTCTGGGCTAGCGTTCACACACAACAAAGCCACCCCTAAAGTCTGCAATATTTCTTCTATTTCAGGTGCAGGCCTTGCACATAGGCTTGGATCTAGCACTTCACTTCCTCCTCTTTTCTGTCTAACCCAGTCAACGATGTGGAGCCCATCTGGTATTGTTGGGTCAATTGGTTGCTTCCCTGTTAGTACTTCTAATACAACAATCCCATAACTATACACGTCACTTTTCTCTGTTATCTTCATCATGTATCCATATTCTGCATAGCAGTTAGTGGTAAATGATAAATATATGTTAGCATTAAAGACCAACAAAAAATAGAGATGAACTTTAGGACCATCGTACTGACCAGGAGCAATGTAGCCATAGGAACCTGCCAGTGTGCTAGAGGATCTTGCAAAATCTCCCTCATCAACAAGTTTAGCAAGCCCAAAATCTGCAATGTATGGCTCAAAATCAGGACCTATGAGAATATTGTTGGCCTTGATGTCCCTATGGACAATGGGAGGAACACAGTCATGGTGAAGATAGGCCAAGCCTTGAGCTGCTCCCAGTAATATCCGATACCTGATGTCCCACTCCAAGCAGTTTCCACCACTTCGTTCATGCAGCAAACTTCCCAGGCTCCCATTTGGTACGTAGTCATACATAAGTAGCCTAGTATTTCGATTCCAAGAGCAACCAAGGAACCTCACAATGTTCTTGTGTCGAATGGAACCCAGGGTCTTAACCTCAGCTGAGAAGGAATCACGAACTCCTCTGCCATGAACTGCCAACTTGTCACGTTGGCAATCATATCTAGCAGCCGTTGTTGGCCATAGTTTTTTCACAGCAATGACATCGCCATTCTCTAGTTCTGCACGATAAACAACACCTGAACATCCCTTTCCTATCATATTAGAGTCACCAGACATTTTAGAACTTGATCGATGGAGAAGTTTAATTTTTGAAATGGTGTAAACTGCCAAGGCCACGAATCCCCTCCCATCTCAGAATCGTTATCATCCTGAGCCATTTTCTTTGCTCGAACCACTGTAAGAATCCCAAAGATTGCCAGTGCAATGGTGAAGGCACTTAGCAATCCTATGCCCAATTTGATTCTCTCAGCTCTTTTAGAATCACTTTCATTTTGTGCTTTTGCCATTGCAGAATTGCTAATGAAGCATGAATCCCGGCCACTTGGACACAAGCCCTGATTTCCTTCCAAATCTGTTGGTAACAATTGATGGAATAACTTGATGTCCGGAAGATAGCCAGTGAACTTGTTTTGAAGGAGATGTTGAGAGAAACAAGATTTTCAAGTCCTGAAAGAGCC